GCTGGGAGAGTAGAGAGCAGTGCTGTGTCGGTAGTGGTGTATAATTACAGTGATTCTGAAGAACTGAGAAATGGGGCTTGGCTTTATCCTTCTACGGAATTGGTGAACCAGTTGTAAGTTGATAAAAAGTTCTCGCGATGAGTGCTGCTGCTGTCTGGCTATTACTACAACACAGTACTTAAGGGCTGAGTGGAAATAGCCCCAAAGGGCTCTCCTTGCTCGGGAAGTACGTTCTACTCTTCCTGTCCTTTTCTGGTGCTGTCTCCCTGTGTCTGTGCTTGTTTGTTAACTAACTCACTAGCGTAGTGGTGACTGAGGCCGCTACTGAGCGAGAGCCCTGAAGCGTGCTGACTGTAGTTCAGCTTGAAAGTGGTCAACAAATCAGTAGAATAATACTTTGAACTCCTGTTATAATTCAACATACTGTTTCTATTTTTTTAATGAAAAATCTGACCACATTCAGTAATAGAGTAAGAATTAATTTTTTTTAACAAATAGTCTGCTGCTACTAAAAATTAGCAGCAAGCACGTTATTCACGCTAGAAAGCTCTGTAGGTGTAGCTGTAGGTGAATGAAAGCAGACGGGACAGAAAGGAAGCCAGGTTGCAGAGGGCACTGAGGGGACAGGGAATCCCTGTCAGCCTGGGGGTAGGAAGCAACTTCCCCAGTAGGAGTGTTCGAGGGCAGGCCTATGAGGGCCAAGGTACTAAACGATGCTCAAAGATTGGAAAATATCCTGGGTAGTGGGAGGAGCTGACCAGGAACAGGTGAAAAACTGCCCAGAGACATTGGTGGACCAGTTAAAATTAAACATAAACTTCAGTGATTCCAATTCAGTGTAAGGAGATTTTTTCATCCACAGCGCTCAGTAGGGTGTAGAGAGGCAGGACGGTCGGGTCCATCTGTGGCCCACATGTGCGGGGGGGTCTCCTGCAAGACAGGCAGCTGGCAAGAGAATGAAGTAGGGACAGGAGAAAATGAAGTTTCTGTACTGAGGGTTTAGCAAAGAAGCCTTTTTCTGTAGCGATTTCACATTTTGGCTGAGACAGAAGCATAGAGTGAACATTTTCCAAAGAAATTGATGGAATGTGAAAGTTTGTATATGATGTGATGGTTTCCAGAATTCACAGTTCTGAGTTGGATGTAGACTATCATTTTCATATCTAAGTCGGGAAAATTTGGCTTTTAAAATCTCCAAACTTAGTAGTTTTTATAAGATTTTTATTGTAGGGGTTGAGACTTCCCCTGCTGCATTTTCATCATGTCATGAGTAAAAGGAACCCTTGTAGGAGTTTCAACTTGCTTTTCTTGATATTGAAATCTCTGATTTTAAATAAATAGAATGATGTCCCCTTGGGCAAATTATGTAATGTCTTGGGTTTCAATTTTCTTGGCTGTGAAATAGGACACACCCCCCCACCATCACTGTGCTGTGCACTCATGAGCTCAGGTGGTCGAGGGCTCTGTACAGGTCCTGGTACGCAGTGTGTGAGCTGCAGCTGATGAAAGTCACTGTTGTCCTGCCAAAGAACTCATGGACCCAGGGGCCCTCATCTGTCTTTACTCTGAGGTAGAGACTCGTACAGTATCATTACTCGACTGGCTTATGTTGGTTTCACCAAGGTTGTTTATTTAAATCCTTGGCAGATCACTGCAATTGTTGGTTAGTCACCATATGGTGGGGAGTGTGTCAGGGGTTGGCTCATATACACACAGGCTGAGAATCCTTGGTAAGTAGAAAGAATTATCTCCCACTCTTGTTGCCAGCGCTCGGACCTGGCCTTGATTCAGAATGCACCTGTCCAGACTTGGGCATGGTCTCTGACTCGGTTCTCAAGTCTTCTCACCTGGCTTCCACTGGGCTATAAGACCAGCCAGAGAAGCAAGAGAATTGACATTGAATCCAGGTAACCCACCAGGTTACCAAGTTCCTAGTCCCAGATCCTGTGCTTCACCAAGCCATTCCTGAGTCTCCCTCTCCTGGACCCATCCCAATGCCACCTTACACCCAGCATGGCAGACGGATCCACAGATTCCATTGTAGTTTGTTCCAGCGCCAGCCCAGGTTTACGACTTGGTCTTTCAACTTGTTGCATGATTCTAAGAACACGGACAGATCCACTGTTTCCAAGAGTTGACTTGGACTCTGAGGGCTGTCCAGGCCAGTTCCCTTAGACCTTCTCAGTGGCACCAGTCCTCCTGCTGACGGGCCACTTGTGTGCCTGAGGGGCTTTTCTGGGGCTTTTCACAGGCACCATTCCCTTGCTGGGATCTACCCCACCAAACCCACATGTAGACAGTCCTGTTATTGTGACGTGATGCAAACCAGCACACACCTACTTATGAATGACCACAACTCAAGTATTTGAACAGAGCTATTATTTATTATCACACTTTAAAGGTTGAAAATGTATTTCCATTTTTCTTCAGATAGGTGTTAATATTTTACTATTTGTAAGCAAAAACCTCATGAAAAATACGTGTTTTTTATTTTTAAATGAAATTTTAAATTTCAGTGATTTCTTTTACCTTTTGCATCCAAAAGCTTGGTTTAGGCTGTGGTGTTGTCCCTTCTCAGTGTCTCAGGAGCATAGTTTTAATCTATGGGTTTTGTGTTTCTGAATGTAAATTATTTTAATGAATCTTATCTGTCTCTCTGTATTTATCTGTTTGACACTCTTTCCTGCTGTCCCTTCCCCCAAGCTGTTTAATGGAAAATGGGTTTTACTTTGGGTGTGCATTGCTAATTTGTATGGTCAAATTGCATGGATTGGAGGCAGTGTGACCAGTCAAACCTTGCCACAAACCAGAGGGCAGGCAACTTTTTATTTTCTATGCACTCTAAGAAAAATGATGTAAACATTTTTTTTTTGAAATAATGTCAGGACCTTGATTGCTAATTTATTATCATCCAGAAAGTTTTGAAGATTATTTCAGAACACCTTTTGAAATACATGTGTATGTAAGAAAAAAGTTGACATGTAAAACTAAAGACAGAATACTAATGCTGTATTTTATAAATAAATACTTTATTAATAAATGTTCTATTTAAGTTACCTGGTGAAATACACATGCAAAGGCACACCATGTATTTCACTGACTTCAAACAAAAAATAAGAATATTTTTAAAAGAAGAGGAAAGAATGTGGCAGTGGAAGAAGAGGCAAGTCCATTGAAACTCCTAATGCAGATTTAATAAGTAACAATGTATGATAGCCTATGCTATTAGAAATACTTTTCTAGCATATTATTATAGTAAAATTTTTTTTTTTTTTTTGAGGAAGACCAGCCCTGAGCTAACATCCGATGCCAAGCCTCCTCTTTTTTGCTGAGGAAGACTGGCCCTGGGCTAACATCCTTGCCCATCTTCCTCTACTGTATATGGGACGCCGCCACAGCATGGCTTAACAAGTGGTGCGTCGGTGCACGCCCGGGATCTGAACTGGCGAACCCCGGGCCACCGCAGCAGAGCGTGCGCACTTAACCGCTGGCGCCACCAGGCGGGCCCCAGTAAAAATTTTAAATATCGAAGAATATCCATATCAAAGCATCATATCAGTAAAGTATCAAATTAACATTATGATAACATTTATTTATTTATACATTTATTTACTGTACATCTATTAGAGGTAAAAAAAACTTTCTAATTTAGTATGAATGTATACAGTGTGTATTCTCACTTATAAATCTTACATTTCTCAGTTACTGATGTTTAGTGCTTTGATCGTTATCTTAACTGAGGCCTTTATCTAGAGTGAGAAGTGATGTTCCCTAATGTCAAACAAACATTGGTAAGGTGAGAATTTCCTTGATTTCACCTAAAGTGGTAGACCAAGACTACAAGAATTTAAGCTTTGGGACTGTCTGTTCCCCATGTTTCACTAAGTCCCTAATATCTGTATTTTTATGAAGATGTAATATTTGTGTTTAAACATAATTTTTTAACATCATATAGCCAGCGGTTTTACGGGTTTGTGGTGTGTATACTGGTGTTCATTTTGCATTATTACAGTGCCATGGGTAGAGCAGACTTTCGAAGAGAGAAGGAAGGCCATTGTAGTTTGCAAAAGCATTTTCAACGTTATAAAATGATGTCATATTTAGAGGGAACAGCTAATGTATTAGTAATGAAGTGACAGAAAGGGTATTAGGATTTTAAGTTTATGAGAAAGGAGTGTGATTTTAAAAAGTTGAGAAATACGGGATGAGTTTTAAAGAACAAGGTGTTATTAAATGAAAATTATTTTGATGATATTTATAATTAATTAGTTCTTTCTGGAGAAGTAAAAAAAACTGTGAGGCTTTCTTAAATTAAGCAAATGCAGTGTTTTAAAAAATCTCCGTGAGTACTTGAAAGGCCAACTAAAAAATGAAGTGATTTTAGTTTCTTTCTATAGAGTTCTGCTAGTGATACGTAGTCATTGAAAAATGTTAATCTATAGGAGGTCAAAATTTTTTATCCGACAGAATCCAACTGTGTAATATTTCTTTTGTAGTAATGTGGTTTCATAAACATTTCACATTTTCATTTCATTAAACATTTCACTGTTTCGTCAGAGGTTGCTGATTTTTGTTATGGTACGAATTCAATTTCTTTTTCTTCTTTTGAAGTAAAGCAGCTTCATAGCTGTAGCTTATGGTTGTGTTAAAAAGGTAGCAAAGAATGGCATATTTGAGAAGATCGGTGTCAGGAACATGGGAAGTAGACATTTAGTCTTTCGGGTTACTGGGCAAGAAGGTCAGTAAGGTTTCAGTAAGCTTAAAAATAATGTTCTTGTTGTGCTGTAGGAATATTAAAACAGGGACTTAATGTTTAGATGCTGCATTCTGATGTTTGACTGTTTCGTTTCGGCAGAATTGCTTATTTTGCAACATGTAGGTTTATATATGGGGGCTGGGGGCTACAGGAGATCAGTTACTTGATGTTTTCAGAGGGAAACTTGGAACTGTGTATACGTTTCTGAAAATCACAGTTTATTTTCCTGCCTTTCATCCTTCAGGGCCCTCCAGAATTTCCACAGCACACACCTGGACCCGTTCCCAACAGTTTTAGCCAGCCCCCACGCCTTCCTCTTCAGGACCAGTGGAGAGCCCCACCCCCTCCCCAGGAGCGAGACCCTTTCTTCCTAGGAGGTAAAGGGTGATGCAGAGTAACGGAACAAACCCGGATGGGGTGATGTGCCTAAAGACATTTATGTGTTAAACTGAATATAGCTCCCAATAAGAGATTTTGTTAAAAGAGCATCACATTTTTGTACCACGGTGCTTCTGCATTGTCATTTCAAATGCTAAAATTGGATGTTGTTGGTATCTGAAGTGTGAAAATCTCATACGAAGGAGGAAATCATCTATAGAAAATGACTATTGAAGTAATCTAGAAATAGCAGCAAAATCTAGAATTCTTTTCAAACATTTATATCCTGCCACCACTTGTAATTTTTGTCTATAGTAAGATAGTACGTGAAATTGCTTTTCTGTGAAGTGTGTGTACTATAGAACCAGAGGGTAATGGTGTACTACTGTTCAGTTTCAGGTGAACCAAGGTTCCCCAGTCATCTCTTTCTGGAACAGCGAAGTCCCCCTCCACCGCCACCTCCCCCCACGCTTCTTAGCAGTAGTCACCCTGTGCCCACTCCCAGTCCCTTGCCATTCACTCAGCCTGGACCAGCGTTTAATCAGCAAGGACAGCAGCCAGTGTTCCCCAGAGAGAGGCCCGTAAGGCCAGCCCTCCAACCTCCAGGTCCAGTGGGCATTCTTCACTTTAGCCAGCCGGGGTCAGCAGCCGCACGGCCTTTCATTCCTCCTCGACAGCCCTTCCTGCCTGGACCGGGACAGCCGTTTCTGCCCACCCACGCACAGCCTAGTCTGCAGGTACGCCTCACCAGCCAACCGCAAGGAGGAGCGCACCTGCAGCTTTGTGTCTTTGTGTTTCATAAAATGAACGCACGTTTTTATTCTAGTCTACTAAGATGTGGGGAAAGAGTGAGGGTATTAATCTTAAATATACTGTGTATTAAAGACAACTTTTTTGACAATGTTGTCTCCTTAATCATAGGAGAAATATAAAAAGTGATTGTCATTTTCTGGGAACTGAAAAAGTTCAGTATTAAGATTTTTTAAAGGATACACTGCTAATAAAATTAACACTTTTTGATAATACCTTTGCTCATCATTGCAAGATTCTTAAAAGGTTTACCGATGGAAATAAAGTTCTTTGTCAAATTGTATTGCTGCAGTATGTAGTGGAAAGATTCTTTGCGTGGAGGAAAAAAAGTGTTGCTGTTCCCTCATTATTTGAAAGATTTGAGTGCCCTCTGCTGATAGGCTGTGTTTCGTGGGCTGCCTTGAGCATCTGTGATTTCTGTCTTAGCCAGTATGTTTCTTCTTGTACTTAAAGTTTACTATTAAAGTATAGAATGATGATACGCACCTATTTAGAAACACATAGACTATATGTCTAAAGTGAAAAAAGGAAAATTGTTATTTAGGGTATCAAAGTAGGATAAAACGTTTTTTCATTTTTCTTTTTATTAAAAAAATAAAATGAATAATCTCCATTGCAGAAATATTTTAGTATAGATAAGTATTTAAAAAGGAAACTGAGTAACCCCATCGTCTAGAAACAGTCACCACTGAGATTGGGGTTATGTGTTTTCTGTCTTTTTAGTGCATGCATGCTCATACCATGCTTTTCTTTTTCCGGTTAAACATGTTATTGTGATCTTCTCATGTCAATGAATTACCTTGCACTGCATCATTTAAAAATGCTGCACAAGTTTACATTTTATGGCTGTCATATGTTTTGCACTTGTTTACTGGTTTCAGTACTGTCATATTAGAAATGCTGCAGGCGACATTCTTGAGGTTGTGTTTGCTTGCATCTTTAGTTATTTCTTTAGGACAAAGTCCTGGAATTTCAGGATTAAAAGGATTTAGAGCAAATATAAAATGTAAGATAGTAGCTTTTGGCTTATTACTGCATTTAAGATAATATTACCTTCATCAACAAATCTAAAATGAAATTTTAGTATCACTTAAAGTTTCCTTCTGGTGTTGGGGTTTTTAAGGAAATGGCTGAATTGCAACGTAACTACTATATACACTTATAAACTGTTGTTTCTCTTTCTTTTGGCATGGAAGGGGCCCCTGCACCCCCCATTGCCTCCTCCACACCAGCCCCAGCCCCAGCCCCAGCAGCAGCAGCCCCCACTCCAGCCCCAGCACCAGCCCCCACTCCAGCCGCCTCCGCAGCACCAGCCGCCACCTCCACAGCCGCAGCACCAGCCTCCTCACCAGCCACAGCAGCACCAGCACCACCACCACCTCTCCGTTCCTCCTCCGCCTCTGATGCCCATGGCTCAGCCCCAGTTCAGGCCTCATATGCAGACAGCTCAGCCTCAACCCAACAGCAGCCGAATGCAGTGCCCCCAGCGCCAGGGGCTAAGGCATGTAAGTCTCTATCTGTCTTCAGCTGTCTTCAGAGGGTGCCTTGTAAGTCTCAGAGCTTTAGGGGCAGTACTTTGAGTTGGAATATTTTCTAATTCTGATTTAATTAATTAAACATATGTAGTACATTTTTCTGAAGTGAATGTATGTTTAAAAAACTGTTTTGGAAATTGATTTTCTTGACTACAGAAATTAATAATGTCCTTTTTGTGCCTGAAAGACTGTATTAATATCATTTACTTCAGCATCTTACTTTTGTATGTCTAGATATTCCTGTAGCGAAAGATGATATTATGAACTAATAGGCACATAACTTTAGAAAATACTCTTGAGTGACAGTCACTACCTTTGCCGGTGGCTTATTTTTGGATGCATAAATTATCTCTATCTCCTTGAGCTCTGAATAAATAAGTAAATGAATTCAGGAAGAATTTATTGGCTGTCCTCTGTTGCCAGGCACTACTCTAGTTCCTGGGATACAGCAGTGAACAAAAGAGACAGATTTCCTGCCTTCGCGGAGCTTCTCTCTAACTGTGGGGGATGAATGGTGCATTTATTTCTGAGGTTTCGCTCTCAAGTACCGTCAGCAAATGTGTGGCTTGTCATGCATCAAAAGAAACTGGGAAATGCGTATTGTCTTAAACACAGGAGACAGCGTTGCTGTTATTGCCTTGTCCTGCATTGTAGCGCCTCTGTAAGGAGGCTGGTGGTGGGGTCCAGGCTCTAAAGGTGGCTGGTGGGTCCCTTTAGTACTGTCCCTTTTGACCTTGAGCTGCCAGCATCTCATTGAGCTACTTTTAATCTCAGTTTTTCTCAAACCTGCCCCTTGCTTTGTGTGTGTGTGTGCGCGCGCGCGCGTGTGTGTGAGGAAGATCAGCCCTGAGCTAACATCCATGCTAATCCTCCTCTTTTTGCTGAGAAAGACCGGCTCTGTGCTAACATTTATTGCCAATTCTCCTCCTTTTTTTTCCCCCAAAGCCCCAGTAGATAGTTGTATGTCATAGTTGCACATCCCTCTAATTGCTGTATGTGGAACGTGGCCTCAGCATGGCCGGAGAAGCGGTGCGTCGGTGCGTGCCCGGGATCCGAACCCAGGCCGCCAGTAGCTGAGCGTGCGCACTTAACCGCTAAGCCACGGGGCTGGCCCTGTCCCTTGCTTTCTTAAAGTAACATTAAGACTAAAATGATACAGGAAATAAAGGATTTCTAGCTTTGGGAGGAGAGTGCTTTGTAACCTAGGTTTCGTCTTGTTAGAATAGTGGCGGATTACACCCCCGGCTTGTCTTTTTTTGTGTGAGGAAGATTAGCCCTGAGCTGACATCTGCCAATCCTCCTCTTTTTGCTGAGGAAGACTGGCCCTGGGCTGACATCTGTGCCCATCTTCCTCCACTTTATATGGGACGCCGCCACAGCACGGCTTGATGACTGGTGCGTAGGTCTGCGCCTGGGATCCGAACCTGCGAACCCTGGGCTGCCCAAGTGGAGCGCACAAACTTAACCACTGGGCTGGCCCCCCAGCTTGTTTCTTTAAACACTAACCCGAGGGCCGGCCCTGTGGCTTGGTGGTTAAGTGCGCGCGCTGCGATGCTGGTGGCCCGGGTTCGGATCCCGGGTGCGCATCGAGGCACCACTTCTCCGTTCATCCTGGGGCCGAGTCCCACGTACAGCAACTAGAAGGATGTGCAGCTATGACACACAACTATCCGCTGGGGCTTTGGGGGGAAAAATAAAATAAATAAAATCTTTAAAAAAAAAAAAAAACAAAAAAAAAACACTAACCCGAGCAGTCTTGGAGCTCAATCCTCCTTCAGCCATCTCTCGTATCTATAAACTCCTCTAGGTGTTGGGTCTCTTAAGAATCCCGAGAATGAACATGACTGAGAATTTCGTCTTGGATAAAACTTTGGGGCGTCTTTCTCCTTCAGGAAGTAGTTTTTCTTAGGACGTTGACTTAATGCTTGATTCTTTTATTGTCCCAGCTTGAATTTAGGGGACCCAGTAAAAGTGGTGGTGCCGTTAGTCCAGCCAACTCCTTGTGCAAGTGGAGTCCTTTTTTGGCTCTGTCTATTCTGTTAAAAATGTCAGTCCCCGTACTCAGGCACCAACTGCAGTTACCTGGTGTAATTTCCATAAAGATGTCCTTCTCTGTAGGCAATATGATACCTTTACCAGTCCCAGTTCTTAACAGTAGGGCATGCTGCTGTGTAGAGCAGGAAACACTTAACACGTAAAAACAAGTCTACCAATGGGAAATGTATCCGCCCCCCAAAAGAGAAGTAACTTATTAATGAGAATAGTTTTTTAATATTTTTATCTAATAATATGCCTTATTATGTTCTTTCTCCAAAGTTTCCAGTTGTAATTAGAATTTCTTTCTTCTTATGATAGAATACAACTTCTCAGAATGTAACCAAACGGCCAATGCAGCAAATGCAGCCAACTGCTCCAAGAAACAGTAATTTGCGTGAATTACCAATAGCACCATCACATGTTATAGAAATGAGTAACAGTCGTTGCTCCTCCACACCTGCAGCTCAAGTAAAACCTGTTATCAGCACGTCACCACCCTCGAGGCCTGGGGTGGGGTCCAGGAATGCACAGGGGAAGACTGAAGTGAAAGTCAAGCCAGTTAGCCCTGTGGTTCAACCTAAAGAAGAAGCAAAAACAGAACCAGAGGTAGGACTATTTTATTAAAAAATAATATTTGATCTCAAACAGGAAGCCTTATAATTAACTTGTACCTCTTAGTACATTCTCATCCAGTGACTAATGCACAAAATCTTCCCACTTTTTTTCAGCTGGGTCCTTGTTTTAACCTAACAGCCATATTCATGTAAGACATGCTTCCATTCTCACTGGTTTACGCTGTTAGACTGTATATGTTTGCACGGTTATGCTATAGAGTCTGTATATATCAGGGCTTAGCAAACTGTTTCTTTAAAGGGCACCAGATAATAAATATTTTAGGCTATATAATCCAAACTGTCTCTTGTAATTATTCAATTCTGCTGTTTTAGCACAAAAGCAGTTAGACAGTTCTTACATCAGTGGGCGTGGCTGTGTTCCAGTAAAACTTGACGACAGAATCAAGTGTTTGGCTTGATTTGGCTGGTGGGCTGTAGTTAGCTGACCCCTGATATATACTGTTACGTTTCTGTGACTTGTTCTTGTTTTATACTGTGAACTGCTAGAAGGTAGGACCACTTTTACTTTTGGCTTTTAAATTAGATTTTTGGGGGAGTTTGTATTGTTTTGAATTGTATATAGTGTTGCTGATTTTTAAATAGGTATAAATGTTGTTAAGAGTAAATAATAAATGCAAGTCAGTATTTTACATGGTTTCCAATTGAGATCTTATTTGCACTTGATTTGGTTTGGCCAAAAAAATGATTATTTTTGCTTAGAGGTGACTCAGTATTAGTCAGTGCAGTGTTGGTCATGAACTTTTTAATTATCTCTTGTTAACTATTAGTAAAATTTGTGGCTGGGACAAACCCCTTGAGGCCATTGGTCTCCTATAAAAGAAATGGGTGTGCTTGTCTAATGCTTCCGTGCAGTCAAGATTCAGTTCTGGGCTGTTCCCTAGAAGTACAGATACAGAACTTGGGCAGTATCTGTAAAACGTGGGTTCTAACAAAGCATAGGAGTCTAGTGTAGCATAGGTTAGAAACACGCCCTCAGAGTGATGCACCATGGCTAGCACTGTGACCCTGAGCAAGTTACTTCACTTCTCACAGGCCTCCATTTCCGTAACTTTTGGGTGTATGCACCTGGGATGTAGTAAAAGATGAGTATGTAGAAGTTATACTAATACTAATAAAATTTATATACAACGTAATAATGAGTATCGTACATGTATTAACTTAATATGATAAAAGAATAATGGCTTGAAGAGTTTCTCCAAATAAGAATATAGGCAAGTCATGTTTTCTTAATTATATAAAAACCAGTTACGACTGGTTTTGTCTTTGAATCAGTTAAATTGGGGGAGAGTGGTCAGATTTTCTTCTCATAAATTATTGTAGCAGTTGTACTGTAATGTTACCAAATCAGAAATGTAAATATAAAGTCAAAATATTGAGTTAACATTTAATAAGATCTTATTAGAAGAAGGGTGACTTTTTTGCTTTTAAAATAATGTATGAAAAAATAATGTAGATTTACAAACTGGATTGGGATAGTTAATGAAAAGAAGTCTTTGCTGAAAATTTTATCCTGCTTTTAGTTTATATAGCTTTTCTTAACTTGTGTGTGTAAACTGATTTGCTTCAAGAAAATTAAGTCACATACACTTTACTTTTATAAAAATAGTGTCTACATAAAGTGAGAAAGTGGCTGTGTAGGCATACCACTAGCCACGTGTGGCTGTCCCTTTCATAACACTTGATTTAGGCAGACTTCTGAAGAAGGCTTCTGTAGTGTCAGACGGATGCTTTGTGTGTGAAATGGAACTTGCAGGTAGCCAGAGTACAAGTTGAGTGTCTTAATTTGTTTGCTTTTAATTTTCTGTGCACATAGAATGGGACTAGGAGTAAAATTTTTTTACTTTTTAAAAAAATGTTCTATTTGTTTTGCTTAGGTAAATGTCGTTTATTTTCTTATATTCACCCAATTGATAATGATACAGTAAAGGACAAATCTATTTAGAAGTATTTCTACCTATATTCTTGAATGTGTTTTCACTCTTTCTTGATTGCTTGGGGAAGAATCCTAGTAAATACTAATTATTCATGCATTTGAAGCAGCGGGCCCTCTGGACCTGTTACTATGTCCCCAGTGGTCTTATGCTCCCCAAATAGCCGGGCCTTTTGAACTATTGGCCTCTTCTTACTGTTTTTCTGTCTTCTCCTTAATGTCACTTCTTGCTCTGTACACCTGCTTGTGTAGTCCTCATCTGCCTTCAAATTTGCTCTTTCAAATCTGTCCTAGACTTTGAAATTAGATAACTGAATTGGTTAGAATTGCTTCTAAAATGACAAGCAGACCCCAATGAGGGCCTGCCTCTGTGTCCTGTAGGTCAAGTGCACAGTCTCTGGGTGCACCAGCCGACTTCAGCTGCATTCTGGTCTTAATTCCTAATTCTTAAGGTTTATTTGTTAATAGCTGAATTCTGGATAGGTTAAATCCTATTACATTCTTTTGTAAAGGATCTGTAGATGAGGATAGCTATGATTTTTTCTTAAAGAAAATTATTACAATTTTTAACAAATGCTTAACTTATAATAAACTTTCCTCATTGGATGCTTTTTATGACAGTTACTGGACTTTTTCAAAGATTTTTGGATAGACTTCGGAATGGTTTGGGGCTGGCATACTAAAGACATTCCTTATATACCATTAATATTCCAATACTGCAATCGGCAGCATTTTGATTCTGAGGAGAGTGCATGAGTTCAAGGTCAGAGAGATTGACTTGTGCTGTTCATTATAACCAATTATTCTGTGACAAATGAGTTTGAGATCAGGCTGAAAATTCTGTACAAAAAATCAATAGTTCTAATCAGGCCCTTTCAGGTCATTTACACCCCCCCCTTTTGTTGGTTCGTCAGAGAAGAGCCAGATAAAACCTGTGTGGCAGCATGGCCTCCCTGCTGCTGCTGTTTCCACTCAAAACATATTTTGGTATCTTGAAGGTTTAATTGGCTTCAAACTTGTGAATGAGTGGAAATTTACATTATTTCGTTTTTAATATTCTGATAAGATCTTCCAAATTAGCTGTAGCTGTGTAATTTTTTTCCCTCCCCAGAGGAAGGAGTTATACTTAAAGTCTGTAAGTGGATTTTGAATGGCTTCTTTCAAATCCTGAATTAAAGGGTTTTTGGGAAGTGCATTTTCTTAGTTTGTTGATATAGACTGGAATGGTCACCTTGCCTCGTACTCCATAGTAAACCATTCATATTTCTATTTCAGTTTCCTGATGAAGATGAAGAAACGAGGTTGTATCGCTTGAAGATAGAAGAACAGAAACGCCTCCGAGAAGAAATCCTGAAGCAGAAGGAGCTACGACGGCAGCAGCAGGCTGGTGCTAGAAAGAAGGAGCTGCTTGAGAGGCTGGCGCAGCAGCAGCAGCAACAGCAACAGCAGCAGCAGCAGCTCTATCCGCCCCCAGCCCCAGCAGAGCAAGAGGAGCAGACATCGTCACCTTCGCCCACCAATGGTAACGCGTTGTTACCCTTCCCAGGTGCACAGGCCAGACAGAATGTGAAAAACAGACTTCTCGTGAAAAACCAAGATGTCACTGTTTCAAATATTCAGCCCAAAACATCAAATTTTGTGCCATCTGGTGCTAACATGCAGTATCAAGGACAACAGGTGAAACCACTGAAACATTTGAGACAGGCCAGAACCATACCTCCGAGTCCTGCTCAGCACAAAGTCCTGCAGGTGAAACCTGCAGACGGGGAGGGGCCGCCACCCCCCTCACAGACTGCTCGAGTGGCGTCCCTCCAGAGCCGGCCCCCAGACGCCAAGCCCGGCACGAAAAGGACTGTCATGCACCGGGCACACAGCGGTGGCGGAGATGGGCCGCACGTCAGCTCCAAGGTCAGGGTGATTAAGCTGTCAGGCGGGGTAAGTTGACGAGGTTACCAAGCCTCTTGGAATCGTGCTTCACTTAGAATGTCCCCATTCCCAGAGAAAGTTTTGCAGAGGGGAAGTAAAAATGGCCCGTCACAGTCGTGTAGACCAGCCTCTACCCACTTGGCGTTGGCGTAAGAATTGTCGTTTACATTCCACTTCCAACTGGGACCCACGTTGTTCCAGTGGTCTCTCTTGAGTCTTAATGCAAGACCAGTCTGATGATCCCTAAATTAGACGTTTCTCAGTTTTAGCTTCTTTTTGTAGATAATTTGTGATAGAATCATCAAGTTTGTGTTAAAAATAAAATTTGCTTCACCACAAAACAAATCACTTGTTGTGTGTAGCTTTAGATTCAGTGAGCAACTGTGGGCAGGGTGGGGAGTTAGGGGCAGTGTGTGTGTTTTGTGTCTGCTTTTAAGCAGCATTGTTCCAAAGACTGTTTCCTGTGTTCTGTTTTCAAACTAATTTCCCCCATTTGAAACAAAGAAACAGGATGAACAGAATTCTAAAAGAAATGATCTTACCACATGCTTTCAAAAGTGGAACACACTTCATTTCTTTCTTTCCTTTTGAACAGTGCTCATTTTAGATCGTTTCAGTAAGGCAGAGTAATTGCAGTTTTCCACTGCAGTTTGGATAAGTTCAGTACTTAAAGTCGCTGCAGATAGATTTCCATTGCAGAAGATTCTGCCGTCATGAAGCCGTCTAGTCTTTACTTAGGTAATAGAAGGTAACTCTCATCTCTGGCTTTAATTACAGTGAATTCTGCAACAGATGCTATATGGTGTGTGTAATTGGTGTCCTCTATAACAGCACTCCCTATTGTGTGCAATTTGTATTATAAATTGAGGAAGAAAGGGGAAGAACTGTAAGACATAGGCTTTCAGAGCAAACCAGCTAGTGATGATTACATTAAAAACCACAAAATACTTAAGAAAGAAAAGGACCTCTAATTCTCAGTCCATCCAAGGAAAGTAGTACTGTATGGGAATGTGAAGGAGCACGGGTGTGGCATGGCATCCTTTGCGGGACTGGATTAAGAAAAACTCATCATTAGTCATTTAATTAGTTGAGTTTTAATTGCTTTTAATTCTAGGTTTGTAGACTAAAAATGTGAAGCTTTTCATATGCTGTAAGAAAACTTTTGATAGAATAATATGAATTAGAAATTCCATATTCAACAGGACCCATAGTTTTATTTTATCCAAATCTGTTTTTTATCACCTCCATTCATTGTGATTCAAAATGTTGATAAGCAGATGGCATGTGTGATATCAAATTATTTTAATATCGTATAAATTGTTCAATTTGGGTGAGAACCCAAGCGTTCGTCAGTTTCCGAGGGGTCTGTGGCCTTTGCTCTTGACCTCGTTTAAAGCACACATCATCAGTGTCGCATTGTTTTCCTTGAGTTATAAACATAGGAGGGGACGTAGGGCCATGGCTGAGCATAGCCTTTTCTGGTGGCAGCCATGGTGGTGCTTTGTGCTGCCGGGGCTGGTGTGACTCGAGGGCCATGTGCACTTGGCACAGGCGAGCTAGCAGGTGCAGGTGCAGCTCTGCTGTCAGAGAGTAGCTTTCCAACCAATGAACACCTTTCCAGTAAAAGACTTCATCTCCTTAAATGTTTGCTGTCTTTTTCTCCAGTGGAAAAAATATATTTTTTATATCAGACTGTATTCTAAAATCATGCTTATGTAATTTTACAACATAGTGAAAAACAGCAGAGGAATTTTACATGAAAACAGCTATCTGTCAAACTTTGGAATAGCATTTTAGCTCTTTTTAATTCTTAAATATTAAGTTAGTTAACCAACATGTTTTGTGTCTTAGGATTTATTCCAACAATTCCTCCAGTAGTGTGTTGGCAACTTTTGACTTATCAGGGGATAAATGTCTCGTGTTTGTATCTCTCTGAACTGGAACAAATAGTATTTCCCTAATGGCCTTGGGTTTTTTGTTTTTTTGTGTGTGTGTGGGTAAGAACTATTTTTAAGAGAGCATATTCATAATTGTGCTTATTTCAGGTGATGCAAAAAGGAAACTGTTCAGTGCTCAGTGTGCTCACATTTCTTCTCTCATCTCTGTCCCTGCTGGTCCTCTTCTCCTTCCCTCAACTGTGGCATCCATGCCCAGGGCTGCTGTGAGCCCAGAGCTAAACGGTTGGCACCCCAGTAGGGACCTGACGGGCTTAGCATTTGGTAGGGTTCACTTGTATATCATACCTGTGCAGAATATTCCTGATGCATTTCAGGTTTACAGTTACTCGCTTAATAAAAGCATTTTATTGTCAATTCACGTTCTCGTATTTTGCTCTGAGTCTTAGACTTCTTTACATCCTGTTAGTACAATGCATATTGTATTTCTAAGGTTTCCTAGAGAGAGTTACTATGGAGAGAGTCAGTTTTATTTCCTTCATTTTTTTTCTAACCTAAACTGCCGTCTAGTGTATTTAATTAAATTATTCTTGGCATTCGGTCGTCTCCTCATTCTAGTGTGGTCTCTAGACAGGACACGGGACTATTGCAGTCCACGATGCCATTCTAGAGAGTGTGCCCTGGTGATGACCGTAGGTAAATATGTACCCACAGGATGTTTATGAAAGGAGAATTTTCTTGGTGCTCTTATTCTGACATACAGATTGGGAATATCTTCACAACTGCACTAGATTTCTCTAGGTATATTTTACCTGTGGCAGCTGTGAATCAATGCAGAGTTCTCTTTGTTATTTTCCATATTTCATTATTTCTAATCACATAATTTATCTTTGGATTTTATTTGAGTTTTTTGAAAAGTGAAAGAGCCTGAGTCTTATGACAGTAGGTTTTTTTAGTCTGCTTTTCAATAATTATATCTTTTTTAAAGTGATTTTAATTCACCCTAATCATTGTAAGAAAATTTCTGGTCCTTTTATATTGTTCCTCTTTGTTACAGCTAATGCATTATGGACATAGGAAGCAATTTCAAGCGTCGTCGTCTGGGTTTAAAGCTCGCAGGGTGATTCTTCAGTTTCTTCAAGGGCTTTCTGTTGGCATTGTATTTGTGACTGGTTATCCTGGAATTCCCTTTCATGGAGTATAGAGATCGAAGCTCTCGCTCGCCAGGACAGAGAGCTCACGTTGGTACACAGTGGTGTGATATGGTAAAGGCAGTGTGGCTTGGATGAAGACGACCTGCGTTTGGATGGTCGTCTTTTATTTGTTGTCTTTGGGACCCTGAGCAGTCATTTCATTTCTCTGAGCCTCAGTCTCCAATCTGTAATGAGGTTACTAAGGTTACTGTGAGTAATAAGTACATAAAGCCTTCTGACACATAGCAGGTACTGCATAAATGTCCATTTTCTTTTCTTTGTTTTTTTGCGAGGAGGACTAGCCCTGAGCTAACATCCGATGCCAGTCCTCCCCTTTTTTCTTGAGGAAGACTGGCCCTGGGCTAACATCAGTGCCCATCTTCCTCTATTTTATATGGGACGCCGCCACAGCATGGCCCAGCAAGTGGTGCGTTGGTGTGCGCCCGGGATCTGAACCTGCGAACCCCGGGGGCCACAGCAGAGTGTGAGCACTTAACCGCTTGCGCCACCGGGCCGGCCCCCCATTTTCTTTTTAGAATGCTGCTAAGTCCCCTTCTAGAAATGCATTCTGTGATTTTTATGCCATGTAATAGTAGTAGCTACTGTTAATTGAGTGTTTAGCATGTACTTCAGTGTCCTGGTAGGTGCTATTATTTCCATTTTACAGATGAGTAAATTGAGTCTCAGAGAGGTTGTGTTAGTAGCCTAGGGCCACACAGCTACTAACTGGTAGAACCAGGCTTCTGAATCCTATGCTCTTTACATTATTTGTAACAGTTATTTTTTTCTGCTGCTTTTTTCCAGTGTTACTTATTTCTTGATTAGGAATAATATTCTGCTATTTCCAGTGAGTATATACCAGTTAGAGTTGATTCAGAAAATTTTTTGTGGGGGCTTTTAGAATAAGGATGATGATTAGGTTTCGTTTTGCTTGGCGACCCCGATTGGTAGTGCCTGACTAGAGGGTGTGTTGAGAAGGATTTAGAGGAATGAAAAAGTGCTGTGATTGGTGAGTAGCATCAGCTGTGGAGTGGAGCCAGGACTGGAGAGTGGCTGGGTTTCCCTCATTCCTGTTCTAAAACCTGTGTGGACTGGTCTGGTAGCATTCGAGTGACCACGTGGCCACTAGCCTGTAAAGTGAGTGATGGTTGATCCTGGTTCAGTGCAGCTGCAGCTGTAATGTGCTCTGTGCTAAAAATGTGTCTGAACATTTCTGTGTGAGTGAAATTAGGTCAAATTTTATATTTAAAACATTGAGATGAAAACATTAGGGGAATTTGAAATTTAAAGAGACCTTTTGATACGCGGCTAATCAGTCTCTATGTATGTGAATTTTAGTTTTTTTACACTCATTTTATTGTCTGGATTTGTTAGGTCAGATTACAAAAGGAACAAATTTATGCTGATTATAAAGAGTGTTAGATATTGGTAAATATTGCTTCTCAAATTTAATATGCCTCCCTGAATATTGTTTATATAAGTATTCTACTTAAAGAATTGCATGTGATGGAATGGTTCTCTTTTTATTATTTAAAATATGAAAATATTCTCCATTTGCTCATTTCTCAGAAAGCTACTTTTAAGTATTTAATTTTAATTTTTATTTTTATTTATTTATTTTTTTTTAAAGGGCGGAGGATTTATTTATTTATTTATTTATTTTTTTTGTGAGGAGATCAGCCCTGTGCTAACATCCGCCAATCCTCCTCTTTTTTTGCCGAGGAAGACGGCCCTGGGCTAACATCCGTGCCCATCCTCCTCCACTTTGTATGGGACGCCGCCACAGCATGGCTCGCCAAAGCAGTGCATCGGTGCGCGCCCGGGATCCGAACCAGCGAACCCCGGGCCGCCGCAGCGGAGCGCGCGCACCCAACCGCTTGCGCCACCGGGCCGGCCCCTAAGTATTTAATTTTTAGAAACC